CACACACACACACACACTCAAAACGAGAGGCTCTAACCCCACTAATGGCGGCCCTCTCACACACAGTTCAAAGGCGAGAGTGAGTGTATGGATGCACTCCAGACCCCCACACTCCTCTGCTGGTCCCAGGAGAGCCTGGGCCGGGCACCATGTCACATCAGCACACTGCTCTAACTGGCCTCCCAGGGGGACTTCAGTCAGACGACTTGTTGTTGTGGCCCTTCTCTGGGTTTCCCTCTATCACCCCTCTAAATCTCTTGTATTTTCATTGAAAGCATTTCACGTGACTCCAGCTGGCTCCCTTCAGTAGACTCTCAGACAACAAACAGAACTTCTCATCATCCATTATAGTGACACAGAACTAATGCTATAACTAATGCTACCATGTGAGAACTTTACTTAGCTTCTTCAGGCGGTTACATTGATGTTCTTACTCTCTTTTACGTGGCCTGATAAACTGATCACGGTTAAGCTGTATGGATTACAACAGGACTTTTCCGCTGCTACTTCTGGTTGCCTTGGTAACATGACTCAAACCAACACAGTTACTATTCAGCTCATACTTTTCCCTGGCGGCTTTGCATTGGCCTTATCCAAACAAAGAACCCTGAGTTATGAAAATATTAAAAAGGTGTATGCTTTAAGAAAAAGTACCATGTAGCTAAGGCAGATTAGTTAAAATAACAAGCTTATAAGAGGCCGTTTGAAGTGCTGGCAGCCTGTATGGCTAAAGCACTTCTTTTCACACATAGACTTCGAACCACTTAACAAACTGGGGGCAGGGCTGGCTGCTGTAGGCCCATGATAAATAACTTTAGCAGAAAAACCCAGTGGTGGAGATTAAGCAGAAATACAGTTGGGTTATTAAAAAAACTATAATATCTCTGCTTACCATCTTGGGTGAGGGAAAGCAACGCTCTCTGAAAGCAAAGAAAGGGCTGTATAGACGCAGAGACTTCGGTGAAATCGTGTAAGAAAAATGAATATGAAGATGTAGATAATACTTAAAATGAAAACAGAGAAAGGGAGACAGAAGTGTGTGCCTAAACAGAGATGACTGAGAGGTTGCTATGAGGAAGCCGGGCCAGAGTGTGTATGTTTTCCTTGGACCCCAGCCCCTTCGCTGTTTCCACAAAGACACGGAGGAGCTCCAGGCTGCCTAGTTGGCTGGGAAGAAAGAGTAGGAGTGGACAGGCATGGATAGAGAGGCCTGACACAAAACCTACTATCTTCACATTTGCCAAAGGTGATGATCTCTTGCAGTATCTATCAGCCCTCAGTCTCTAAGGGGTGTTGCTCTTACTCTTTTGCAGCACACCTGTGGTCTGACAAAGTTTACAGGGGAAATGAGTCTGCAGAACTTTAAAGGGTTAGGGTGGAGTTCTGCTTCAGAAATGCTTAGGTTGCTCATGACCTCACATTTGCACTTTCCCTATAGATGTCAGCTCATACTGAATTGCCATGAGCTACAGTGATGTGACTTCCTTGCCTAATCAATTTGTTTGCATTTCATTCTCCATTGCAGCAACACAGATGTAACATCTGTCTTCCAATAAAGTTGTGTTTAAACCTGACTCCCAGACCATCTGTCATGTCGCCTGCTGCTGTCAAAGCGTTGAAGTGGGAGATCAGCATTAGTGGACAGGTGGTCAAATAGAGCAAAGGGTCAACAAGGTTAAACTAGGCCAGTTCAGTCCTAACCCGGCCAACTATGAGAGAACTACCAACTCTTGAACAGTTACAGAAGTTCAAATGTTCACCCTGATTGTCTTTGCATGAAAAATAGTGTAACTAGAGTCCTAAACTTGCTCTCTGCCAATTGTCCAGATGTTCGCAAGGCCCTGAGAAGGGAAGGCAGAAGTAGGATACTCAAGATCCAACTGAAGGAATGCATGTTTTGTCGTACTGCTATTACTCAGTCTCTTTTTCCTGTGTTTTTATTTGCAGGGGATCGCACTGTCTTGCTAAACAACACAGAACATCAGGTTGATTTCAAGTCCCACCAATGGTTCGGAGCCACTGTGCGTTCTCACGGTGACACAATCCTGGTAAGGTGACCCTTTCAGAGATTATTTTGGGGGTGGGGCAGAGAAGCAACAGAGTTTTAGCTTTGTGCTACGCCACTGGTGTTCTCCACTGTTATGATTGGGGCTTTCAGTGAAGGCTGTTCTGGCCACATGGCTGTGAGAAACCTCCTACTTTGAGTGACGACTCACTCTGACATCAGGAGGAATGTGTATGTTCTTAGTTAGAAATTTGTCTCCCAGATTATTGTCCATTAAGTTGTTGTCACCCAGGTTCAAATTTTCACACACTGTAAAGAAATGTTTTGTGCCCCCCCGGTGACATCAAAGTTGAACCGCCTCTTGTTTGGTCTGATTGTAAGGTTTGTGACCTGGGTTGAGTTACGTGGTTACCCTGCTCCAGATGTACCACTGACCTCAGCCCGGCTCTCCTCCTGAGTTCACTGCGGTGTTGCTGCAACTGGAAAAACATCTCCTACCTAAATGCTCACCCCGTCACCACATATCCTCCCTCCCCTTTTCCTCCCCGCCAATCCCCATCTCTCTCCACCTCCTTTCTACCTAGGCTTGCGCCCCTCTCTACTCTTGGCGGACTGAAAAGGACACCCCCCTTTCTGACGCTACAGGAACCTGCTACCTCTCAGCCCGCAATTTCACCAAATTTGTGGAGTACGCTCCCTGCCGCACAGGTAACTGTCACCTCTCTTTAAATCTGACAGTAATGTTAGCATTGGTCGTCTATTTTTCATAAACATAGCTTATCTTCACATGACAGCTGCCCTTAATGCGGGAGACAGATAGAGGCAACTGTATCCAGGATTTTTAATGAATATTATTTGTTGACCATGTGCAATTCCCTTGAAACCAAAGCTCTGGAATATTAAATAGCTACCACAACAAATAACTCATGATACACTACTCCACTCCTGTGTGTTTCAGAGATCAGTGATGCGGTGGGACAAGGTTACTGTCAGGGAGGATTCAGCGCTGACTTCACAACGGTAATAACTATGTTCCTGTTAGTGAATCACAAGAAGTTTCTGGGTGTAATCTTATTTCTTTTCATTGTAGTAATTGAGAGGTTTTATCTTTCAGGATGGCAAAGTTGTATTGGGAGGGCCAGGCAGCTACTTCTGGCAAGGTATGTAGGGCATACCAATCAACTATGTGAAAATCATAAATACCAAGCCTCAAAATATCACTTTTACAATTTCTCTTTGGTTTGGTTCTATTTGGTTTTATTTACTTTAGGTCAGGTGATCTCTGCAGCTAAGGAGGACATTATCGAAGCGTACTACCCAGGCTATTTTATACAGTCTGTGGAGAACCAGATCCAGACCAAACAGGTCCAGGCTAAACATGATGACAGCTACCAAGGTAAGAGGATCTTTGTGCTTTTTGATAACTGCATATTCACACACATATATGGATTTGTTTGCCATGCAAGCTGTGTCTGATGTCTATACTCCTGCCTGCAGGTTACTCTGTTGCTGTTGGGGAATTCAGTGGTGATCAGGTGGAGGGTAAGTCAATAAGTCAATGTTAGATGAGGCATGTAGAAAGTAAAACACGTGGCCAGTCACATAGCAATGCAAATGTTACAGCTGAAGTGAACATAAACTGACGTCAGCTACATGATTATTGAGCTGGAAATGTCGTCAATACTGGAATTCTCTTATGCTCCTGCTGGGCTTGACCTGTATATTTTCCCTCCTGAATCTTTGCTTCATCTTTCTGTTCACCTCTCAGATTTTGTGGCTGGTGTTCCAAAAGGACTCATGCTTTATGGTTCGGTAAGAAAGCTTAATCATCACTCTCATTTTGGCTTTCATTTTGGTGCTTTTAGAATGAGAGGCCTGGGCTTTAGACTTGGGACTGATACAGGAAAGTAAAAGAAAGAAAACAGCCTTGGTGATATTGTTACTGAGGGGATTATTTTTGCAGTGAATTCCATACCTAGAGAATGTGCTTATATTAGACCATATAAAACGCTGTTCACCATATGTCGCTGCTGTGTTGCAGGTGTCTATTCTGAATGGTACAGATCTGAAGACCATGATGAACTACACTGGCGAGCAGGTGAGTCAGAGAGCTCCTATCTGCCCACTACTGAAAGCTTCATGCTCCTTTGTGTTTTCATTGCTCAACTCCTCATGAGAGCTCTTAATTTGTTGAGTCAGTGTAAGCAAAAATAATTTCCTTTACAACGTTCTCTTTACTAGATTTTGGTCTCTTTCGTGGTTTGCTGTAAAGCTCAATTATTGAGGGGAAAGTGCAGTGGCAATTTGTGCAAATGGTTCTGGGAATAGAAATGCACTGAGCTTGTTTAAACGGTGATGATTGACTCAGCTGAATAAATAAAATCACAAGTGAATTTGCTTACACTCAAGGCAAGACTGCTTCTACAATGGCTGTGCTTTTTATACTTTAAATTCAGAAACGAAGCTGACCTTGAACAGAAACGGCCCCAAACTGGGCCGAATCTGTAAAACCCATCAAGCCTTCATGTTTCCTGAGTCTTCCTTTTTTCTAGTAATGCAGAAAGCAAGTCTCTAGTAGCGTTTCTGTTTTGTATTATCTAATAACAAACCAAATATTGATGATGTTAATGTCTTTTGACAATGAGATTTTCATTGGCCAAAATCATGGAAACACTTTTATTCACAGATGGGATCATATTTTGGTTATGCAGTGGCAACGACTGACATCAACAGTGATGGGTGAGTAGTAGCCTTGTATTTTTCTCACCCTCTCTGTCTTCTCCTGTCTCTTTCTTGCAATATAATTCGTCGGCAGAACCTAGATTGGATGCCACCAACAACCCATTACAGGCGTCAATGTGTCTGAGCTTAAATGAGTTTGTGTGATTTTCCTGTCTTGTCTGCAGGATGGCTGACCTGCTCGTGGGAGCTCCCATGTTCATGGTCCGGAGCTCCGATGGCCGTCTGGAAGAGATGGGTCGGGTGTATGTTTACCTACAGCGTGGCCCCCTGAGCTTGGAGCTCCGTCTACCTCACCTGACAGGCACCCAGGTGTTTGGGAGATTTGGCAGCACTATTACACCATTGGGAGATCTGAACCAGGATGGTTTCAATGGTAAGAATGGGGATTGTACTAAGAGGACTGACTTCTTATCTGCAGGGAAAATTATGCTGAAATGGTATACAGACTAGTTTTAAGTATGGGGTGGCTCTGGCTCCAGTGGTGGTGCGTGTCGACTAGATCACAGGGTTGGCGGTTTGATCTCCACCTCAGCCATCATGTCCTTGGCCTTCCAGCCACTGAGGACGCACAAGCCAGTGCATTACTAATTGCCAGTTCCAACTACGGATAAATAAGGAGCCTTGCATCAGGAGGGCATCTGGCGTAAAAAGCCCATTCCAAATCAAATATGCAGATCATTGGATCTCCATGCTGGCTTGGATTGGCCCGGTTTGCCTGCAAGATGGAAACAGATAATCTGCTGTGGTGAGCAGCCAAAAGAAGATGAAGATATGGAGGGGTATAGTCAAGTATAAAAACTCTAGGTAGTAGTAATCTCATTGCTTCAAGTTTTTTAAAGTGCAAATTAAGTAAAGGTGAAGGTAAACAAAGATAAAGAAGACTGACAGACAGACCTTTTTAGCTTCACTAGTGCTTGCACTTGGGTCCAGACTATTGGCTGTGTTGCCTTGATATTTTGCATTTCATTTCTTGGTCCCAAAAGGATAAAGCCTAATCACTTTAGTGATCACTTGACTTTTCCTCTTGCCCATCATTAATTTGCTAAAACCTTGGTTAATGACCAAATAGCACAAAAAATAAAGACATGATCAACCTTAGCATTGCATTTCACCCAAAGCATTGCTCAAAGTATAGCCTTGAGGAGCCGTAAGACTGTTCGGCCTTATAATATTAGGTACTTCTTCTGTTAACTTCTGCATTATTTACAGAGCTACTGTGGCTGCAGTCCAATATTTTCTCTTGACTTTTGACCTTTTGCAGATGTGGCTATCAGCTGTCCGTTTGGAGGGGAGGATCAGCAGGGACTGGTCTACATCTATAATGGATACTCAGAAGGACTCAGGGAAAAGCCATCTCAGGTTATCACTGGCCAGTGGGCTGCTGGGACTATTCCTGCCAGCTTTGGATTTGCCCTCAGAGGTGCTAAGGACCTGGACATGAATGGATACCCAGGTGAGTGAGGCTTGAAATAGGCAATGAACATCATTAGCTTTTTTATTATTTTTATTATTATTATTATTTAGCTTTTTTGTATGATTTCTAATTCTGTTTCTTTATTTCCTCAGATCTCATAGTTGGTGCCTTTGGTGTTGATAAGGCAGTTCTCTATAGGTATGTTGTTTTGAAATACATACTGTATCCAATCATACAGTTTTTGTTTAAAGGAATTGTGAGACATTGAGGGAAGTATGCTTATTCACTTTCTTGCTGAGAATATCAATTCTGTACATACATTAATATGTATGTATGCAAATTAAATATGAAACTAGAGCCAGCAGAAAGTTAGCTCAGCTTAGCATAAAGACTGGACACAGAGGGAAATAGCTAGCCTGGCACTGTCCAAAGGTTAGAAAATCCACTTACCAGCACCACCAAAGCTCACTGTAATTTACATGGAATACCCTTGTTTTTGTTGTGCAAAAACTGAAGTGTAAAAACGGTTTTAAAACTGCTTGTAGCCAGATTTTTTTTAACCTTCGGACAGAGTTAGCTAGCTGTTTCCCTCTGTGTTGAGTCTTTATGATAAGCTAAGCTAACCCTATCCGTAACAGAAATGTGAGTGGTATTGATTTTCTCATATCTCAGCAAGCAGATATTGGCACATTTCCCTGTAATTAAATCTTTGATGATTGAGTCTTCAATCTACATCCTTTTTGTTGCCCACAGATCCCGCCCAATAGTTAACGCCAGTGCAACTCTGACAATCTACCCCACCATGATCAACCCTGAAGAGAAGAACTGCATGATCACCAATGGAAACACCAGCATTCCTGTTTCCTGGTGAGTGTCCAGCTTGTCCAGGACCAACACTCAGCTTCCTGTGACTCAGGCCTCAGTCCTGCACTGTTAGTATTTTTTTGACCCATCTGCAAGAAGATGGGCTTCCCCATTTCCTCCACATGCATAAACACTCGAATCCTGGCAGGAAGTTCTGATAAGATATATCCTTTCCATCAACAGTCACGGTATTAATTTGTAGCGAGAGTTGCTCTTATCTGACCTATTTTACAAATAATCCTCATATCAAACTGTTTCTGTTGAGGAACAGAGGACTAACATGCTGAATAGCAGCATTGTTAGCCATTTCTGGCCTCCTTCAAATGTGCACAGTATTCAGTTCCAGAAAAGGGGAGAGGAAACAGACGACGGTTGCTCACTGCTCGACATGGTTGACACTGCGCTCACATGTCTGCTTTTCCCCCCTTTCCAGATCCTGATCCATAAAGGAAACTCTTGTATACACATGTGTCTTGATTACACTACGTTGCCAGGCGATGAGGAGTTTTTGGTGGGGGTGAAGGGAGAGCACAAGGGATAATGGGAGGGAGAGTGGGAGGGGAGCGGCTGGAAGGTTTTTGCTGTTGCTTTGAATGAGATATTGTTTGGTGGTGGAACACAGCTGGGAAACATCAGGACACGTAGACTCCCGTGAGCGTGCGCACACAGTTCGTGCAGAAACAGGCAGACACAGGAGCATATACATAAAGTTATTACTACTCCTCGAAAGAAGTCCTTGTACCCTCTGTCTTTCTGTCTCATTTTTCACCTCTCTTCCCTTTCCTGTTTTTTCCAACAGACTCTCCCTTTTTCCTTTCTTACTTCTTTCAGTTCTTGCTCTGTGCCTCTTGTGTGGGTTTACTAGTAAAATGATTGGGGGTTTTGGGGTTGCAGACTTTTGGACAGCAGCAGCATGTTGTGTGGCTGATGTCATGGGAGAGAGCTACAGGCTTATATAGACAGCCATTGACTGGTCAGCCCTGAAACCCGAGACGTTGCCCAATTTCACCCTTCTTAACTCTGCTATTCCTTTGTGTGTGGGGGGGCTGCCGGTTGAAACGGAGACACACGATTTATCAGCTTGGCTGGTGAAAGTGGTTGGATGCCAGTATGTCTCCAAACATTTGGCATTTTTTTCATATTATTCATTGTATTCCCATTACGCCTTGTGCCTTGTAATGTGAACCATGTAAGGAGCTGCCATGAGAGAAAGTGAGAGAACAAGTGAGGGCAAGTGAGGTGTCTTGTGTGTACAGTATATTTGTACTGAATCTCTGCCATAAATGAACATTTCCTCATCATGTCCCTGTCCCATCTTTTCCAAACAGTGTCAACCTGAGTTTCTGCATATATGCTGATGGGAAGCACCTACCAGGCGTCCTAGGTGAGCCAATTTTCCACATCTGCACTTTATTACAAGTGAGGAAACTGTCAAATAGCTACCAGTGGTAATATTTTAAATCCATAACAGTCTGTAGGTTAAAGTATTTTGGCAGATGATGTAGCTTTTTGGATTTTGTTATGACAAAAAAGGGGGTGCAGTGGGCCAAATATCATCTATGATCCATCTTTAATGATCAAACCTCTTCTGTGCTCTGTCCCCTTGCCTATCAACCCCTAGTTATTATCTCAAATTGCTCTTTCCTTTATATACATGTGTTCCCTGTGCCATTAAGTTTAAGTTACATTGACTCCATTGTGTGTGCTTCACAGTATTTTTGGAGCCTCATTATGTGACTTAAGAACATTTATCATGCCATGAATGCTTATTTGTGTGTGTGTTACGTGTTCCAGATTTCCAGGTGCAGGTACAGCTCGATAGTCATAAGCACAAGCAGAAAGGTGCAGTGAAGAGGGCTTTGTTCTTGGATTCCCAACAGCCCTTGTTACAGAGGAGTGTGACGGTGCGCCATGGGGAGCGTGTATGCAACCACACGAAAATCTACCTAAAGGTATCTCCTTTTTTCTCACTAATACAAAAACTGGCTGTGATTATTTGTCCTGTGACTTAAGTCTGTGTAATAGTTCACAATTCACAAAACATGTGAATCAAAGCAGATTTTCTAAAAAAAATATGAAGCAGTAGCTCACTTTTTGTATAAACTGCATCTGACAAAAAACTTGGTATGTGTTTTTATTTTATTTTATTTTTTTTTACTGCAGGATGACAAAGAGTTCAGGGATAAACTCTCCTCCATTTATGTTGCCTTGAACTTCAGTTTGGATCCAAAAGCAGCAGCTGACTCCCACGGCCTGCGGCCCATCCTCAACTATCAGTCAACCAACGTAGTTGAGCAGAAGGTACTTTGACATGCACTACACTTCTCCAATCCTCTCTCCAGCACAGTTAACTAACCCTGGAGTGATCTACATGGCTTCGAACATCAATATATGGTTGAGCAGTGTTCCCTAATAATGTACATGTGGTTCTTTGACTTGCTTAGACTCATTCTTTCTGAACTGATGATAAGAATATCCGCCACATTGAGTAATCATTCCCACTAATCTAATCACTGGCCAGCTACTCACTGACGTTCTCTTGTCCCTGATGAAAGAGTGAGTCTGTTCTTTTTAATGTAAATTCTAAACTACTCTGCTGGGAAGAGGTCCAAGGTGTCTGGGAAGCTGTTTTCAAAATGAAAATGTGAGACATATGTACAGTGGAGTGTTTCCCTGTCCCAGCAGGAATTGTTCTCAGCCTGCTTGGCTGGGTCCGTACATAGGTCACTTGTTCCAGAGCTGCAGACTCAGAAGGTTGGTAGATATTTCAGGGCGGGGCACAGACAGGCTATTTACCCATCTGGTAGATATCTCTCGGCATTTTGCCAGTTTTCCTCTGGCAGTGAGTAGAGTTGGCTCAACATGTGGGCATCCTTTCAGCTGTGGCACAGCACGTACCTTATGTGAGTTCAGCAACAGCCACCGGATTGGAGCGTTCGGGGAATGGCAATCAGCGTAGTTTTATCTCCCCCTCTTTCTCAATTTCTCTCTCTATCCTGGTGTGTTTCTGTCTTATTCCTGTTGGATCAGGACTAAACTCTGTCATTGATGTCCTCCCTAGATATCACAGCTGTCGGGCCTCCAACAGATGTGGTCTATTGCTGAACCAAGACCTTGAGACAAGCCTGAGCTAAAATGTCAACCTTAAACCTGATAAAGCCCTTTTTTGCCAAACACCCAAAGAGGGCAAACCTGATCTATGCATATGTGTGTAAAAGAGGAGTGGGAGTAGTGAAAGCCTGCCAACATATTTCATTAATCTTGCTTTAGACTGTGTGAATGTAATAGTGTATAAACAGTGATGGGTGACTATTATACTGCAGCCTTGGCCTTGATCAGACATATGATGCCCTATTGATTTCCACATATGCTTTGAGAATGTGTGGCAGGCCATGTAACATTTTATTGGCTCTGCCAAGTTCTTACTCTCTTCAAGCTGGAGTGAGAATGAGAGATGGTTGATGTGCTCGGCACAATCTCACTCACTACTTTTAACATATTCCACATGTTTCTATGAGGAGTTATGACATTATGATGGATCTATTAATTGCCATCATTCTTCAGATCTCGTACAAAGGCATAGGTTTGTGCAAATCCAAAAAGGATTGCAGTTGTTGTCACATTTTTAGAACTTAAAGACATCTGAAATCGTGCATCAATGCCCTCATTGTTCTTAAAATAATAACATCTGACAAAATTATTGTGAATATGATTTATGGGCTCCACTCATTTTGCCAAGTTAGCGTTTTGATTTCACTGTATGACGCTTGCCCTCATTATGTCACATGCTGAGGTCAGTGTTGTTGTTGTTTAACTACAGCGATGGGCCTACAGATGCCGTTCTCCTGCCCTACACAGACATAGAGACCAAGGTGCACATGTGGCCGAGTTAACATGGTGGTTACCATAGTGTCCATAATTAGAGCCCCCGAATGGTGTAATGACAAGGGGGGCGCTTGGCTCTCTCTAATCTCCTCCTCCATTTTCTATTTATTATCCTCTCGTCACGAGCATCATCACACTGTCATAGTCGCAGCGGGATGCAATTTAGCAATCCACAAGGCTTTCCCTGCCGCTGCCCTGCCACACGTTCAGCGGTCATCCACTTATCCACCAGTGTTTCTTTTCCTTTGTTGTCTCTCCCTCCACTGTAATCTTTGAACCCCCACTTCTGCTTTTCAGGTCAACAGAGATATCCTATGTCTCAGTAAGCTCTCTAGGCTGTAGGCCCTACCCTCTCCATATGATCGTATACTTCTGTGGTTCCCTGGGTGGTGTAGCGTGTGGTGAAAGCGTGGTTTGCCTCATAGTGCTGTGATGTGGGACGCTGGTGAGAGCTGGGAGCAGGCAGCTTTGTGCTCAGCTCCGCAGGAGTATGTCCTCTGGCACGGCCTCTGGGCCTGGACTCTTCCGCCGTTCATCATATCCGTCTCTTACGTTGTAAACAGAAAGCATGTGTGTGTGAGTCGGGACAGCTGGTACAGGGGAGTGTGTCTGTGCCTGTCATGACCTTACTTAGTCAGTCATCGTCCCTCTGAGCCACAACAGTGTGTTTAACTGTCTGATGTGCAGTGATGAGGTCTTGTAGATAAAGGAGACTGCAGTCCTTTATCTTCAGACTGCAGTGCAGGTGTGTGGTGGTCGGGAGGCATGGGTGGAAAGTATTAGTCATACCACATGTCGCATCTTGCTACACTCATCCTGTTGTCTCCCTCGAACAGATATTTGATTTATCTTGTGTGCATAATTATCTTCACGTGTAAAATAGTCAGAACGCACTGTATGAGCATCATGGTCTGCAGCCCCTATTAAAACTTTTATCACCCCCTATGTGTATCTTTTAGGCTCAGATTCTTTTGGACTGTGGAGAGGACAACATCTGTGTTCCTGACTTGAAGCTGATAGTCCAAGGGTGAGTCTGTTCATTTCCTTATATATTTTGAAAAATCCCACAGCATATGACTTTCAGGAAATATACTAGAATGCGATGGATAATACATGGTAAACTGAGAACAAGGTCACAAACGCTGAACTCTTCACCTCCACTCTGCAAATGAGATGTTGGATTTGAGTGCTAAAGCATAAATACAGCTGTTTTTGTTGTTCCACTGCTTTGTTTAGTTTAACATACCAAAGAGGGACTGTTAATAGCCACAGTGTTGTAGAAGGGGTTCATCATCCTCTGAAAACAGGAAGCAGTTCCGCTTTACAGGTGCTATGACAAAGACACAGGAGAGATGAAAGGGATCTGTTTGGAAAGTCTGGGAGCTGTGTGCCAGAGTCCTAGCCTCGCCTGCTTCTGAAGCCGTCAGGAGCACCCTGCCTGCCACACTTTGATTCAAGAAATCTGTTAGCATTTTTCTCAAAAATAACAGCCTCCCTGATACTCCCTTCTCTGCTCTGTCATTTTGATTTCACATTCCTATATTTATCTACCATCTGCCTCCATTTTTTCTTGAATGTATGGCTGATCCATCACATATGGAACAACCTGCTGTGTGTTTGTGCTGCGCTCCATCCAAGTGCAACTCCAGAAATTGAGCTGTAGAAAGTGTGATTTGTGCAATTAGAATAATAGCTTGATGTTTTTGTCTGGTCTGTGATAAATCAATGAAGCCTAATAGCAGTTAGACGGGTTGACGGGATGGACATGATTTAGTGGAATTTCAGAAAAAAAAAAGTCCATCATTCCTGCAGTGTTGTTTCTTCTATTGCACTGCCAAGGCACATAACCTGTTAGACCAAGGGTCCCTCAGGGAAGCTTTAAGGTTTTGTGGAGTTTTCTAATTTTGAGCCTTTGTTTGATTTAAAAAGTGCAGTGCCAGTTAGAATCAGAGTACGGTTGACTCGTAGGCCGGCAGAGGATCAGCTTCAGAAATCTTCTCTCTCTTGCTCTCCTGCACTGCTTTATGAGAGCGGGCTGTAATTAAAAGCGTCTGTGTGGCCCTCCATATGGAATTTCTCATTGTTCTTAGCTGTGCAGAGAGGTGGAGGGAGTGAGAGAAAGCAAGGAAGGGGGAGGTGTTTTACTGTCCTACCGCTGTTATACAGCATGTATGACTTTATTACCCCATCGGAAAAGTTTTCATTTAATGGGACAGGGGCTTTGGGAGATAAATCTAATTGATGTTTTTCTGCAGCCGGGCACTAAAGAAAATAGATATGCCAAGCCTGTTTCATTTAAGCAACAGCAATTGATTGCCCACTCTTCTGCCAGCAAGCACAAATAAAGAATGTCATTGTTTACTCTTAACAGCGTAAAACAATTTAATCCATATTTATTTGTCTAAGGAGTGCTGACACTATTTAACCTGACCATTGACCCTTTTAGTAATCATTTTTTCCCTTTGGTTGGGTCCTCAGGAACAGGAAGGAAGTCTACCTGGGTGATGACAACCCGCTAACCTTGACTTTCAACGCCAGGAATGAGGGTGAGGGAGGGGCATACGAGGCAGAGCTGTATGTGGTGCTGCCCCCTGAAGCTGACTACAGCGGTATTGGCCGCAATAATGAGGTGACTAGAAATGCAAGACACAGTGAAAACCCACAACTTCCAGCAACTAATAAACCCCTTGGGACAGGTTGTTGTTCTTGTTCTTGATGATTGTTCTTTGCTGTGGTTTGAAGCAATCTGTCCTCTTGTTTCTCAGAGCCTGACCCAGCTGACCTGCAGCTATGAGACAGAGAACCAGACTCGATACCTCCGCTGTGATCTGGGCAACCCGATGAAGTCTGGTACCAATGTAAGGACACTGCTATCTTTTGGAAGTTTTTGTCCCTTTAGCTCCATGCCTAATGGGTTTAAGGGTTGCAGGTTAACAACACTGTATCTGAAGTGCATTCATTAGTGGTAAACAGTCGACACAACATCATGATTTCCTGCTCTTTGTAGGAAAAAGTTGTATCTCATCCCTTGTTAATGTGAGAACAGCACAGGAAAAGTCGCTATGTGTAAGGAAATGTTGTGACAGGAAGTACAGACTCCCATCTGTGCCCTCCGCTCCCTGCTGGGTAGAGTTCCCCTTTTTTATGACAGAGTCACAAGCTGGCATGCTTTTAATAGGTCTGTAGAGGAAGACCGTCAACTACATGTTAACTGTGATGGATCTTCTCCATTGCAACTGTTTGTTGTCGTAGAATCTGCTCATTCGTTCTCTCTGAAGATCTCAGACTGTAGCATTATTGATCTGATGTCAATGAGAGAGCTCATAAAAAGGTAGACACAGAGAGATTTAATGTACTGGTTTGTGTGGAAAACAAATGGATCTGACATTATAAAAAAAGAGGGCAAAGAAAGAACTCTTCCACATGGACCTGCCCACGTATAATATATCTGCCTGCTGTGCAGACAAGGAGTTCACATACTGACACACCCAAGAACATCACATATTTATCAGAGGATGGGAATGTTTAGAGAAGAAAGGGGTGGAGTGGCTGCCTGTGTGTCTGTTACACTACCATAAATAGAGTATAAAAGTTCACACAGAAATTCTACAGTTTTAGTTACACCTTTCCTCTCTTTTAATTCTTAGGCATTAATGGAAATGTTTTTTTTTTTACATAAAGATGATGATGATTAATAATATTTTGGATCTTCCTCTCTGCAGCTGTGGGCAGGCCTGCGCTTTACAGTGCCACGACTGAAGGATGCGCACAAAACTGTTCAGTTTGAGCTGCAGATCCGCAGGTACATACACACTTGAACATACATCAGAGTCACTAACAGTTAATAGAATAAGTGTTGATTCTGTTTCTTAAGTGCTGATCTCCACAGCTCTTGAATTACGTCAGCTAATCAGAATCTTTTTCTTCTTCTTTCTGCTTCCACAGTAAAAATGAGAATAATTCCCACAGTGAGGTTGTACCTTACAAGCTGGAGGTGGTTGTTCAGGCTGATGTCATTCTACATGGGTAAGTTGAGTCTTAGGATACCCTTATTTGAACTTTGGGAATTCCATTAACTCTGTGGTGCCTCCTGACCTGACACATGTTCTCACATCCCCACTTCTCTTTTGAAGTGTGTCTCGACCAGATAAGGTCTTTTTCCCACCGGCTAACTGGAGAGTGACCAAAAGCTATGGGGTGGAACAGGATGTCGGGCCTACAGTGGAACACATCTATGAGGTAATCAGCCATGTTCTTAGCTGTGCAGACTCATTGGGGCTGAGCAGATTGGGTTGGAAAGTAGACCCTACTGTTCATAAGGCAAGTTGACTTCAGAGGCCAGCAATGAAGGGAAATCAAGGAAAAAAATACTCCAGGTCACACAGTGTGATTTATTCTCTGGCTGTGCCAATCCACTTTTACTTGGGTGAGATTTAACAGCGCTCTACTTTAGGTGACCTATTTGTAGATTAGGAAAATATGTCAAATATGAAAGTTTCAGCCTGGGAAAAAATCACAACCTCTCAGCTGCAAAAGATGAAACGATAAAGTTGCTCTTGGCGTTTAATTTTTCACATACTTACTTTCCTATTTCATTTCCTTTTTCCAGCTGGTGAACAACGGGCCCAGTAGGATCAGCCACACCCTGCTTGAACTGCGCTGCCCCCTCACTGTCCAGGGTCACACTCTCCTTTACCCCCTGGAGTTCTCCACAGAAGGCCCCATCAACTGCACCTCTGACAAACTCATGAACCACCTACACCTCAAAGTAAGTGTCTCGCATGCAGATGCACACCTCTCAGGGTCAAATGAGGATAAATCAGACAGTTAACATCTCCCACCGATTCCCACTCAGTGTATGATTAACAGTTGGGTCGTCCCTGCTGGTTGGCCCACACCCACCTCCTCCTCCCAACTTCTCAGCCCCACCCAGGACACTTACCCCACCACCGCTTTGAAGTTCCAGCTCTTCCCTATGCTCCACACAGCTTGATGAACCACCTCACCCTGCAACGCACTCACTCATCTTCAACATCCAGCGACGCACCCTCTTATACCAACTTGTAGCTTTGGGATTTTGTGGCAGTTGTTTGTGTTTACATTGGAGGCTTGACAGATGTTGAGCAGGGTTGTGAGTGGTCATCAGTCTTAGCTGTGATCTAATGTTTTTTTTTCCCTCGGGTGAATTGCTAAGTACGGTGTATTTCCACGGGAATCCATGTGGAGTAGAGCTCACATGCTTCTGATTAATGAGAAAAAGCTTCAGGGTCATGCTAACATTAGGTCTTATATTGACAGAAAGGGTGGTGTGCTCTTCTCCCTGGTGAGGTCAGTGTCTATGTTGTCCTAATGGGTGGTGTGTGTGTTTGTGTTCTCTTCTCCTTTAGCTCCAGCGCACATCCACAGAACCACCTATCCTGGCACTGAAGGCACATGAGCACCATGTCGAGAGGAGGGACGTCCACAAGAATCAGCTCGCCCATTTGACTAACCTGGTAAGATGCTTTAAAGGGAATTGTCAAGTTTTATTAAGACAACATGTTGTACGCATGGATGTACATATCAGGCCAAAAGGTGAAGTCTAATGTAATATGTAGCTTGAAAGTAAGGGAATGAGGTTTACAGTTAAGGGTAAATTTGGTTATGTAGTTAAAAACACAGGACTCTATGCTGAACCAAAAAACAGAAGGTTTAAACAATATATTTTGCTGCATTGCCTTAAGTAAAGTGTGCAGTTCTGGATCTGGATTTTGGTGACACTGGTCCTGATCTTATACGAGGCTCCTGGGATTGGATAATTAGGTTATGGTTTTGTTAAAAGGGAGGGGTCAGGGGGCACAGGCTTGTCCCGTTGTGATTAACATTAAAGAGCTTTTAGTAGTGGTGGAGGGGTGGAGAGGCTGAGAAGACATGGGAGACGGGAGGCTTTTTGTCAGTGATGCACTGGTTACTTCACAGGCTGCTCTCTAATTTTCGGCTCTGGGTGTCGTGAGGCCCCGAGTCCCCACACACTGGCCCTATTGATCCACCCAGCTGCAGGTAGCTTCTCTCTCAGCCTTGGTCTGTGGATACCTGCCTCCACCAAAGAAGTCTTTGTCTGAGCGCCTGTCGCTCCTAACCATGCTCATTTATCAAGCATGTCCAATGACATGTTAGCATGAACAACCCCATTCTCCCGTTTCCCCAGTGTCTGCACTTTTGTTTTTCATGCTCAGCAGGGCAGACATCTCTGTTCAAAGTGTCTCTTGATCAAAGTTTGTTAGTGTTTAGCAATGCTTGGAAAAAGTTGTCAGCCTAGGTCATAGTGTGAGAATTTAAAATGACCTTAGTCTTAAAAGAGCTGAGATATGCATAAAGGACAAAGGACTGGCTTTTATTTCACTAATAATCAAAAGGGTATTTCGTAATTAGTTTGAAATGTCTGTACTAGTATTACACTCATTGTGTTGTAGTAATAGTTATATTGGAATATGGATTGTTGTGCAAGCACAGCGGTTTTATTTGGTTCCACTTTCTAATACGCTATCTGTACCAAAAGGGTTTGTAAGTTGTAACCTAATTGTTTTTTGTCTTTTTAGAGGAACCAAAATCCATTCAACAACAATTTATTAACATGTGTAACTGTAGACTTTGAACTAAAAATTATTTAGTTTGACCAATACTACTGGACCTAGTTGGATTCAATTTGCAAAGGCATGAAACAGAAAAATCCTCAGATTTGAGATGCTGGGACTGCAGTTGTTTGTAATTTTTGCTTGATACATCAATTATCAGAAGTTTTGCAGATTAATTTTCTGTCGATTAACTGGATGATTAATTGACTAATCGCTTCAACCTACGCTGGCCCTGTGTGTACAGCAGCTGTGTAGTGAGGCCAGATTGTTATTTTATGCAGCTGTGGGAACAACCTCCACGCCCCCCCAAGCTCCAGATCTTGACCACATAATCCCACCAGTGAGGATATGTGGGACTTTGGGCATCTTTGGCACTGGTCCATGTTCATGTCATTTCCACAAACCTTTTTTGGCCCTGGTGCCCTGGGGCATCGAGGAGGTATACCAAGAGGATGTGGACTGATATGCTCCCTGTCTGTCTGAATACCCTCATTAAGTCTGTCTAAGACTGAGCCTAAAGGAACTAGGCGGATACTCTCTTCTCCTCCTGTGTTTGCCCTACTTGGTATAATAAGTAAATTAATGCTCTCCCGCAGGAAACCCGCCGAAACCTCTCAGTCTGGTTGGTGGTCTAGCTACAGCACCAGCTCTAAAACACCGTGTGTGCATGTTTTAAAATGTTAAACATACCAAGCTGCATAATGGGGATCTAATTAAGATTGTGTATTCTACAGTCTTGAGAAAAATGGGTTGGTTTTAGTGGTGGGGCAATAATTTGGAGAGTGGTGCATGCTGCATTTTTATAGTCTCATGACATTCCTACAATTTAATTTGAAGCAGGCGTGGAATAGAGATCATAACATTGGGCTCTTTGTTATATTTACTTGACCTGTGGCATTAACATGGCTGTTATTTGTCCTTTCCATATCTGTTCTGCCAGTTTTTACTTTTGCCTGTATGACTTTCACCTGCATTTAAATCATGTGACCCTGTTGGTTAAGTTTTGTGGAAATTATCTTAGTCTATGCACAAGAATTACTTCAATAAAACTAGCATTTAATTAACATTGTCTTAACTCCTTTCTGTCTTTCTTTGTAGTCCTGTTCTAATGCGGAGTGCTGGACGTTCCAGTGCAACGTGGGTCTGCTGGAGAGGGGGACTACTGCTATCCTAAAAGTGCGCTCTCGTGTCTGGGCTGAGACCTTCATTGAGGTTTGTCGGAGATGACCCTTCCCTTACAAATTCAGACTAGACATGTATTGTACATGAACACATGTTCCCACCAGATGACATAGGAATTGCAGAGGAAAAGGCTGTGCACTATAGATTAGTCTTTTCCCACCGGTGCCTGTGTATTTCCTCATGCCAGGCTTTGGCAGGAAGTGAGAAAGCCATTTTTTATTAATGCATCAAAGAAGAAAAGATTAAGAGTTAAAACTTAAATGTGCAGCTGGCGAAGATACATAGCTGCAGTAGTCAGTCTCACATATTTATTTGTGTTGACTAGGCATCAGCATTGGTTTTGGATCAGTTCTTATGGCTGCCAGTATGCACAGTCTCACATATTTGCCTCAACACATGGGACAACAGTTGCTAACTGAGAATCTAGGTTGAAGACTAGGTGTGCAGACTGCAGTTTCTACAACTTTTTTTTTTGTCTGCCTGCCATGTCTAAGCTACACACTATTTACCACCCCCTGCATGCTGTAACACAAGGCATATGTGTGAATGCATTGAAAATTCATTATCTGGTGTCACAGCTGCTCATAAGAAAGGAATGCTGACGGGATTTTCTTTGGAAGAAGCACCAAGCACACAGTCTTTGTCGCCACCTAGTGTATAACTAGTGGATTGCATGCATTTTGAATCTTGTATTGTTTCTTTTCTTTCAGAGAGCTTACAAGCAATATGTGCTGGAGTGCCTGGCCAGATACAGTGTGGAGAAGATGCCTTATGCCATCCTACCCAGACATGCTCCCAGTGGACACAAAAAGGTATTTTTTTTTAATTCTGTAGTCTATTAATCCCAGAGGGCTTAATTCAGATACATGTATCAACTTAATTTTAAACCCACAACCCTTTGGGTTTTTGTCCTCAGGTGGTGACCCCAGTGGTGTGGAACAAGCCAGATATCGAAAACTCAGTTCCTCTGTGGATCATCATCTTGGCAATTCTGGCTGGTTTACTGCTTCTGGCTCTCCTCATCTACGTCCTATACAAAGTGAGTGCTGCTGTGAAACAAGGATTTAAAAGTTCTTGTTATATACTATAAGTTATGTCAACGCAATTGCAATTAACCTGATCAAGTCTGTGCTTGTTTCTAATTTATGCTTTTCTAACAATGTCTTCCTGTAGTTCGGCTTCTTCAAGCGATCTCTACCTTACGGCACTGCCATGGAGAAAGCACAACTCAAACCACAGGCTGCCTCTGAGGCCTAGGTGACAGCAGAAGGTATCAGAACCACAGAACCTGGCCATATGATTGCAATGGAGAAACACAATGGAACATGTAGAGTGGATGGAAAGAGAGACCACTGGAACTCCACTGTGCTGCACTAGATGAAGACAAAAATCCAAAGATCTCCAAGCCAAATGAATGTTTTTCTTTTTCTTTTTTAATTTATGTCTTGTTTGTTGGCAGGTTGGGATTATTACCAAATAGAACTTTTTTCTCAATGCCTCAAGGCTATCATGAGACTGAACAACAAAAAAATGACTGCAAAAGAAGTGCAGGCTACCGTCAGCCTGCAGTTGCAGTGAGATGCCTTTTGGGTTTTCTTTTTGTGGATTCGTGTGATTGAGAGTCCTGTGTTACCCCTTTAACTGCCTTATTTTGGTGCTAATGATCTAATATGTTCACTGCCTCTGACAGGATATGGCTACATGTAGCGTGTGGCAGCCAGGAGCTGTGAATTACGCTGCCTGCTGAGGCCTGAAAGTGTTTTTCTGGTATCTCCTGAATACATGGTTTTATTGACAGAAGATCAGTAAACAGGTTTCAGGTGGAAACATTGACCTTGCTATAGCAAAAGCAATATTATCTGCATAGATGTTGAAACCTATTCCATTTAATAGCTCAGCTTTTATCACAAAATTGTTCTCACACAAACGTTTTACATAAATTAGGCCCTGACCTGGGCTTAAATTATGTTCCCCTGATTCTTACCTAATGCGTGCTGGGATAGGCTAATCCAGCACCTTGCGTCCCTGAATAGGATAAGCGGGCATAGAAAAGGCATGGATGGATGTTCCTCAACTGTTCATGAAAATGATCTCTCTCTGCCTCAGGTTGTTGGACAGCGCTGGGTTGAGTTGTTTTTGCACTCAAAGGAAATCTACTGATATAATTCCAGAGACACCTATGACTGACTGACTGACCTTCCTTTGAGTTCTGATTTTGACTTCTACTGATCACTTTGTTTAAATCCTGTTTGTTCATGTTCAGAGTTACCAATGCTGGCATCGTCATTGTTACGTAGTCGACTGGGATGCGACTGGAACCACCACAGACCTGTGAAACCTCACATTAGGCTTGGAGCAGTGTGGTGCTTCTGTCGAAAAAGTGGTCTTCTCCTAAAGAATATTTTGCAGCCTTGCACTCCTGCTCGGTTTGGGTTGGGCTCATACAGCATGCAGACCATGTGCAAGCAAATTACGCTTAGGGGAAACCACAGAGTTAAAAGCCATGGCGCAATGATGTCTTGAACCAAAGACGGGACAATCAGCAATGTTGTAGCCCTGTCAGACAGTTTTAATCTGAGAGCAGGCAGGATTATCACTCTTTGTGTGTGAAGGATCCATTTTCAGCTTACAGTGTGTGTTACTGTGAGATACTGTATTTTTGATTGTCTTTTGAGTAAAAGCTGCCCATGTGGTTAGAAAGAGAAGGGGCTGAAGTCATCCCACTACCAAAAGGCTACAGGGACTAAACATTAAAATGCTTTGTGTTGGTTTCTTTTATTTGTCATGTATATAGATTTTATGTGCCTTAAATGTAAATACTTAAATTCTGTGCGTTAGTTAGGGCTGAGTGTGCTTGTGTGTATGAATGTATGTGTGACTTTGTGCATACGTGCATTTGTATGAATGGTATATTTATGAATGTTTGTTTTGTGTATGAATTGGTTATTACCTTTCCCACTGCTTAGTCCTGTTAATCCCTATCACCTCTGTACCTTGAGAACATTGAGGTTAATTGAGGCATTACTATTAATCATGGTAGCATAAATACAATCAGTATTCAGGTTAAGTTGTTTAACTGCATAGCAGCGATTTAAAATGCTTACAACCTCAGTGGAAATAAAAACAAATGTCTGTAAGACAGCCGTCCGGATGTTAGCGTCCTACGGGATGTCTTGTACCTCTACCAAAGGGATAACAGCTAGGCACTGGGAACTAAATGTTGTTTGGAAGTGCAATATTTATATTCACTCTTTTATTACAGTGCTTTCTTTTGTTTTATGTTTCATTTGTGACTGAGTTGTGATAACCCAGAACTTAAAAGTATGTGATTAACACATACACTAAATACGTTGGTGAGGTTCGGGCTTTTCACTTTCACTTGCTTTCTCACTAAGTGTGAAACCTTTTTATTTTTATTTTTTAAATTTTTCCACTTCATGATATACTCACCACTTCATTGCTGGACCACTTTTTCTGATCTTACTGAGTTTTATACCACAGACTGACGCAGAAACTCAAACACAAGAAAATATCTAAGTTGAACTTGGGTATGTTGACATAGTTTGATAATTTATGTGCTCTGCTGTTGCACCTGTCCAAACACCAACATTATACTCACCATATGTTTTAGATTCAGCCTCATCACACACTGTTCATATGGCCCATCTTATTGGATAGTGATTTACTATTTGTCAAATGGTCCACAAAATCCCCATTTGGTAATTGATTTAAAATGTTTAACATTGTCTGTATGAAAATTCTTTATGGAACATGTCAACCCATTATTTATAATGACAGGAGATAATTTTTCTACTTCCTCCATGGTTACATCAGGAGAAGGCACTGGGTTTTCTTCTCTTTTTCTTTTTAAAATAAAAACATGTTTTAGCCCATTTTCACTCTCCGGGACTTCCAAAAAAGAAGTTGTACATATTTATGACAAGGAGAGTATTTTTGAATTCAAAGGATAACTGATCTGTTGTGAATTTTTCTCACCCCATATTGGGGAGAACATTTTTGTCAGGGGGAAGGATAGGGGGGTCTTTGGAGGTCATTTTTTTTTTTTTTACCTGTTATGGTTTGTACTTTAAATAAAATATTTCCCTTTTTACAAATGTTTGTGATTTCATTGAATACACATAATTGAGAAAATAATTTATTTAGAAAACAACAGTGTATGAAACCATATGCATGTCAGTTAGTGGCCTTGGCCAAAAAAATTTCCGATACAATATATTAGTTTTAATGTGAAAATACTAGTGCACAAAAACTGACCTAAAGTGATTGATTACCTATGGTAAATATCTGTAGTATGTGTTCCTATGGCCCTTTTGTACAGATTCTTCCACAGACAGAAAAATGAATTTGGACACCAAAGACAGACACACTTTGCTTAACTGTACATATTGTAACATTGTGAGGAGATCAGTTTCCACTGTGGCACAGGTATGTAGGCCTATACACCAGCGTGCTGTAAGGCTTTTTGGATAAGTCCCATGGACACAGAATCAGATTCTCTGGTTCAGCATCAGAGGTCATTCCTATGCACAGAGCACATTTTCACTCTTGATGCTGTGCTGCGTAGAAAACGTATCCTTAAATGTCCATGCTCCATGAATAAGAGTGAATATACTCAACACCTCACACCAGAAGTCCATCTTATTTAGGCGAGTGTGAAGGTTTTGTTCATCCAGCTACAATCCGTTCTCTGGTTTGGATTTATGCTACAGTTTTCAGTCTTTGTACATTTTCAGGTCGATGTCCTAGCATTCTAATGTTCTTGAGAGCTGTGTGAGTTTGCGCTGATTGTCGATCACCTTCAGGTTCTGAATGTATTGTCGGATGTTACTCGGACTCCGCAGAGGGAGGGATAGCTCTGAGCCTGGATGAGAAGAAAAAAATATTTTAAGCATATTTAAGTGTTTGTATTGGTAAATCATATGTTTTAGTTTTGCCGTGTGAATGTGGAATTTCAAAAGGACTAATGTGAAAAGAACAGGAATTATAACTGGACACAACAGTTAATGATATGGTAGATGTAGCTCACATGTAGATATCCGAGTAGCAGGCCCTTCCAGAAACATCCGATCTGCCAGGCCCCTCTGTGGAGATGACGGCACTGCAGAAGGGAAATAGAAGTTTAATTACCTGATAGATGCGTGATTCATAGCAAGTTATGTACTCGTGCCAGTGGTATGAGTCTGCTATTAAGACAAGCTCAACTGGACCATTTACCATAAGGCTGACTTCTGCACCCTCGTACAATTTTCACTGTCTTGGCAATCATGCGCTTTGAAAATGGGAGAAAAAGGAAACATTTTAAATCAATCTTATACTGAGGGCAAGATTTGTGAGTAGAATAATCAAGCAGAGCAACATGTATCTTACCAGCTTCTCAAAATTGACCAATTTTTCTACATAGTTTGGATTTCCATCATTGATGAATGTCATGTCTGGGAATAGAAAGGAACAGAAAACATGTCATAGATGGATGAATTAATTACTCGTACACATCTCATGCAATACATGCCACACACTGCTCGTATCTGGTACCTTTGAGCAGCAGAGGCATGAAGGGGATGTAGGGAGGACTGAGTTTGGCCACAGCAAGTCTGTAGGCCCTGTGGTTGCGTGAGGGATCCTAACAGGAGGAAAATTCTATTATGTTAATACACATAATTGATGAACTAAACAGTGCATGAAGACTTTTGGAACATTTATAAAATTGAATAAAAGAATACAGTGTGACTTACCATCAACCTCTCATAAGCACAGTAAATTCTTTTTGTCTTGCTGGGGATTCTCTGCAATAGACAAACATACATATATTATTTACAATGTAATTCTTTAGTAAATGGTGACACCATAGATTATCATCATTACTGGTGCATTCAGGGTTTTCTCACCTCCCAGGTCTTGTAAAGCCTGTGTACTGCGCTGTTGCTCAAACCGAACATCACAGCGAAGAATGAATTGAGATTCTTCTGCTCCTTTAATCTGTGACAGAGAGGACATATGATCATAAACAATTAGGTTACAGACTGTCAAAGTGTGGTTCTTAAAGTGATTTTTTATTTGCGGGTTTTAAAAATATTGTATGCCATCAAGACTATGAGACTCATAGTCTACAGTGTGTGCGGCTGAGAAAAATGCTAACATGGTCCCATGGTCAACACAACAGAGTAGCACGCTAACATTTGCTTATTAGCACTAAACACAAAGTACAGCAGAGGCTGATGGGATGTCATTCATTTTCCAGGTATTTGGTTATAAACTTAAGTGTTGGACAAAATTTTGACCAGATGGTGGCACTGTATGAAAAGTCAAATACATCCTGAAGGGAATATGAATGTCTGTGCCACATTTCATGGCAATCCATCCAATTTCTTGAGACATTTCCCAAAAAATGATGTCAACCTCATGTTAGTGCCAGATTCATTAATCATTAAGGGACCATGAATGTTTGTACAAAATTTCATGGCAATACATCCAAAAGATGTTGAGATATTTCAGTCTGGACCGAATGGACTGGCTGACCTACTGCACATTACAATCAAAACATGGCTACTGTTATATATAACAAACTCTTACACTGCAGCAATCTTTATGAACTTCTTGAGCAGAATGGCTCGTTTCACCAGGTCTTCACAGAGGCACAGCTCAGTCACCACCCAGTGCTGCACCTCATTGAAGCGACGCACAAGCCGCTCCAGGTTAGCTGTGATGGCGCCTGGGAATTTATGACGTCCGAAAATGTAGTAGACAAGCTCCACCTAGACAGACAGGGACAGTGAGTCACAACCACTGACATTAATTACACAGTCTGAAAAATAAATCTGGAAATCAAAAAGAAGGTCAGTTTTTACAGGTTACTTAAGAAATGTGATTTGTTTCAGAAACATGTGAAGCATGCAGGAAGTGCTGTACCAGAGAGCCCGATGGCTGTCAGATAAAAAGCACCCAGAAGTCTGACTCAGAAACATGTTTTATCAAATAGATACTCAGTCCTTTGTTGAAATGAGGAATGACAGTTTCAGCTTTGGTTTTGCTTGCATGATAGACTGCTGGATCTTTGCCATCATGAAGCATTTGAAAAGGAAATAAGCAATTTCCTCTTTGTTCTGTATCAATCAGTTTCGATGTTGTTGTCAAATGTTAAAATTGTCATGTCTGCTGAGTTACCTCATGCATGGCAGTGAACAGTTCCCAGTCATAATTGGTAAGTTCATTGGCGATGTCTTTAGAGCCCATCTGTTCAAGGATGTCAGTTGTCCCTCGCTCTGGACCCTGCTGCTCCTTCAGGGGCGTCTAAGAGAAAGGGACAGAGAGAGAATCTAAATGAACAGATAGGGAATTATTGATGGCTTTCTGGGCTTTGACTCAAACTCAACTGTATGCAACATAATAAACAAGGACCATAATAAAAATAAGTCTGGAGTGATGACATTTCCTCTTTTAATTTACAAAAGAAATTATGTGGAGGGCACCCCATTCCTCACCAGTTGTTCCACTTGGCTGCTTGTGCAGATGAACAGTCTCTCGTTGAGTCCCAGGGCTGTGTAGACTGCAGTAGCATCCAGCTTTAACTGAGCTCTTTCTGTTTGCATTTAATATATCAAAAACTCATTTTCAGCATAATGAACTGACAAAGAACGGCAGAAAATCAATGAACATGACTCAGGCTAGCTTGGAAATGGCGTGCATTTGCAGCTCTGGCGTTATTCTAGAAGGAATTGGAAATTTAAATGAAAATATCTATGCATAAGATGTGTCATCAATATCTGAGTCCCACCTCCTGTGGAGTTCATTTTGACCAGGACATGATCACCGCCAGGTTTGACTATTGCTGACATCACATCCTGTACAGATGAGTTCACTGGGAGCATCAGAGTGAGAGGTTTGTTGTCCGGCCTGTAGATCTCATACAGCACTGCAGTGAGAAGGGACAGAAGCCAAAATGTCAAGATATGCTGATTTGATAATTGAGCAATGATGCGTGGTGATATGTTACTCATAAACAACACCCACAGATACATGAGCTCATGTGATGCAACTCATCTATTTTGCAACATATTGTAGTTAAATATATATCAAAACTAGTTAAGTTCATTGATGTACATCTGTGATACATATACAGTATCACTGATTGGACTGATTTATTTGTTTACTCACCTTTATCTTGTGCTCTGATTGGTTGTAACCTCCCCACTGGCTCCTCACAGTTTGAAAACCAATCAAATTGCTGGTTCTGTTGATAGCATCGGAGTGACTCAGCAAGTCAGTGACATTAAACTGACAAATGACAGCAGCATGACATTCAAACTGTTTTCTTATTAAAATGTATCTCTGATATGAATATTCTGCAGCCAGCTGTCATCCGCAAATGTAAAAAATATGAGAAGACGCTTACCCTGCTCAGTGACTGATATCCATTTTCCAATCTGAAAAAGATATTAAAATATGAAAAACAGTGTTAGACAGCATGCTGAAATATTTATGACTTTAGAAATAGCAGATGTAATAAGATAATTTAGACAATTTACACTTTTGTTCTCCTCCTTTCCCTAAATTGTTCTTTCAGCATGCTGGACAGACGAAAATCACCTGCCACCTCCTTCTTCAACCTCTGTTTCAGCAACATGGAATTCGAAAAAGCATTAACATAATTATTGATTCATATTATTAAAAAGCAATGGAAATATTCCAATACGCATTTTTTTTATAAATTAAATTGAGCCTGCAATCTCACCTCCAGAAAGTCCAAAGCAATGGGGTCCTCTTTCAGCAAGAGACCATACAGTGCCACCCATTGGCCAATCAGCTTCACTACCTTCTGCTTTTTTGTGAGAATGTAGGACGCTTTCTCCTGATCCGAACCCTCAGAGAGCTCTGCCTGGTAGGTGCAATGATGGTTAAGGGGCAAACATAAAAAGCTTTACGAACAAAGAATCAGAGACAATTATGAGACATTGTGCGTCAGCAGAATATAATTTACATTCGGCAGTTAAATGCATCATAATCATCATCATCATCATAAGAAGCCGAGGCAGTAGC